CCAACCCAAACCATTCTATGATTCTACGCAAATTCTGCTAAAAAGCAATCAGGACTCAGCTAGCCTTTTGCATACAACACAAACAGTAGTCAGGATAAGTGGGCAAGGTGTGTAAGGAAACACTGCCATTGAGAAAGAAATAAAAGCACGACTCAGTTCTCCCTTGCACCATAGAGATGTTTACTGAGAATAATCTCATGGCTATAGTGGAAGAATATACAGTACACATACTGTGCACTGCAAACATCTGCACGGTGATCTCTAGATCATGCCATAAGTTCATACTCAGCTTTACTACAAACTATTTTTCTTGTTTGAACACATCCCAGAGCAAGTAGGTTATATGCATGTCAGAATCCATCATGAACATGAGGGAACAGGCTCTGTATGTTTGATAGAAGAAAAAGGGAAGGCAATACTCAGTGTATCTCAATGCAGTATGGCTGGTGCATGACAGTTTTTCATAGACCAGGAAAAGCATGTTTACATGTTTTTTATTTACCAATCCTCCTCTTTCCCCCCTGCCAGACTAGGAGTATATGGTAGAAAACCTGAAATACAAGAAAGATGACTGGAAACTGAGAGAGGAAGGGGAGCATAAGGGAGAGTCTCTCCATTGACAGCTACAATTTTTCAGCTACAGGGTAGCTCCCCACTGTTTGCCATTTGTCATTTGGAAGCACTGAACTATAGTTATCATGTGCAAGGCAAGGAAATTGCTCACTTTGTTTTTCACAGCACTACCTTGTATCAACTACTGGTGTCAAGAGCAGTTGCAAATGATTTCCTGTGAGGGACATCCTCCTTGAACAGAATGACTCAATTTTACAATGTTCTCAGAGTAATTTAGCAAGTTCCATTTAGCAGAAAGTTTTGCACTGCATGCTGCTGGTGGCTGGGAGATCTCATGGTGTGCAACAGGCAGAGAAGGATCAGAAATAGATGTCTCATCAGAACACCCAAGACTTACCCAGGTTCAGGAAAAATTTACTCTTGGTCTGAACTGGACCCTACCATTTGGGCAGTCCTGGCTTAAAGCAAGTAACAAAAATATCTGCAGATGTTGGTTTTATTGTGTTCAGGTCATCAGTGTCTAAAGCATCTACTGTGCAGAAGCAGATGCATGCAGGTTAGTATGGGTTTTTGTACACGCTGCAGGAGCTACAGCCATGTGTGTTTTTATCAGCATAAATGTTTACATGTTCTTTGTCATCTATACAGCTGGGTGGGCAGCTAGCCACAGAAAATGGTGATTCAAAGGAACAGAAACTGTATAGGAGTGAGAAGTTAGATTTGATAAAGCTTTCTTTGGTCAGGTTTCTCTTTACCACAGTGGGGTTTTTCGTCACAAAGTTCTTCAGAGAAGCCATGCCTCTGCCATTGTGCAGCAGTCTCTCAAACAAAAGCATTATTCTGATCGCAGTAGGCAGCATTTCAAATCTTTAAAATAAACATGGCTTTTTTTTATTGTTATCTGATTGTGTCATATAGATTTACGTATATACAGAGTAACGATCTTTAAAAGGCAGATATAGTGTTTGTTACCATTGAGGTACCAGATATCAGAATATTACAAATATGTGTTCCAGAATTGTTTTAAGAAACAGTCTTTTAAGAAGAGTTGCATCAAGGTAAAATGGATACCTGCAGAAGAGTGCCAGGTGAATACTCTTCTTCTTCAAGGACAAGTTTAGAGCCATACCAAAAGGCTAACGCGTAACATAGGAAAATTACAAGCCACATGTAACCAGTGAATAATCCCATTATTATTCCTTTTCGAATTCCCCAGTGCTGAGCAAACACCAGATTCTTATCATATCTGTAGAAAGAGAGAACAATAAAAGGGGATGAAATGAATTTGATAGAAAATTCAAAACAAGCAAAGACCAACAAAATGAGGTGTCTTCAATGACTGGCTGTGCTACAGGTTAACAGGGTCCACATAAGGTTGGTGCCTCTCACCCTGAAGTAAGAAACCACTGCTGAAACCAGCAATGCTCCCAGATCATGAAATCCTTGTATGTTCTACTGTAATAAGCACAAAAAATCCACACTCACTGCAGACACCCTGCCATAGGGTTTGGAGTTTTAGCAGAGTGACATGGGATTTGAGAATTTGGCCAACTATTCAGGGTGCTAGGTTCCTAGTGCCATGCTGCATTTTAAATTAATTTAAGATAAATTTGCAGCTTAACATCATCAAATCATCATGTCTTGCTGTAAGTCGTTCTCTTACTTAGCTTGAAAGTACCCAAAGTTTTCAGATGTGCTGCAAAAGTAATATAACAGACAATGTTAGGGGGAAGATTTGGTAAGTATGTTCCTACAAGTGGGAATGACTTGAAGACAATATTTCTGATGGTTTATTTCAGTGATTGACTGAATTATGAAACTGGTTCTGCATATGTAATGTTATTTGAAACCTAAATTTCTGTAAGATACATGCATATAATTCTCAAAGCTAACAGACGGCCATTGTTGTAGAATTTAGAGACTAATTGCCGTTGACTCTGAAGTGCATTACAGCATGACGCTGCTACAGGAAAAATAAATCAGAGACCTTACAATTTGTCCAAACAAACCTTTCCACTTCTTTCTTCTCCCCACCAAAAGCAGCCACTGTTCTGATGGATGAGAGCACTTCATCAGCCACAGCTCCAGCTTTTGCATAAGCCTTTAATTCTTGGCCTGTTAGTTTTGCCACAGCCTACAAAAGCATAAGAAGCATGGGTAACATCTGAACTGTAGGTGCAAAGACAGCAGTAAGCAGTGCTCAGTGCACTGTCTGCTCTGCATGAGGTCACCTCCTCCACCCCAAGCAGGCTTTTATTCAGCATGTTCTTCTGTCTTCTAGTATTAGGGCATATACCTCTGTTGCATATGTTCTGCAGAATAGTTATCCCTTTGGCCAACAGCTCTGCTCCAGGTAGCTGACAACACCTGCTTTCCCTCCTTCCCTCTCTCTGCTGCTAACTGGGCTTAAGCAGACGGCAGACTTGTCTGTTTGTGCATTGTGGGAGAAAGGAAGATCTTGATCAGCAAGAGCAGCCCTTTACCCACTGTGGCAGAGCCCAGCTTCAGGAATAAAAGGTAATGGTACTGATGGGGGAGGATGGAAACAGATGTTGCCCACCACTGTGCTTTGTTTCTTGGGCTGACAGCAAACAGGTCCCTACACAGCAGCTCAGAGCACACTGGATGCCAAAAGCTTACTTAGGCTCAAAAATGCTCAAATTAATGGAAGAAAATGTAGTCATGTACAACTCTACACAAAGACACCACATTGGCTTGGGAATGTAATATCACTAGAAATTGGCAAGTCTCATTATTTGCTTTCTCTCTTCAAATACCCTGCCCTAGACATCTATTAGCCACTTTTGGAGACAGGAAACCAGGCTAGATTGACACCTTGGGTCTGTTTTCTTTATGGTAAAAAACAAAGACTTGGGCTGGAAAAGCTCATAAGGAGGAAACACTTAACATTGGGTATGTGAAAGGAAAGAGATGGGAACAGAGAAATAAGAATAGAAAGGGGGAAAATTACAAACATAAAGGGGAGTGAGCTCAGACAGAAACTGCAAGTGAAGGAAAGAGTCATTTGGGGGTTTATATCATTCCCTGCCAGGATTCTGCTCTCCCACTTCACACTGAGTCATTATTCATGTAATCTACTTGCAGCCAGCACAAGGTGCTAAAGAAGAGCAGGAAGAGAATAAATTAGTCAGAGTTACATTAGAGGTTTGATTAGAAAAATGATAGCAAACTCTTTCCGATGTGGGAGAAGTGAGAGATCTAAAGGGCTGAATCCTACCAAAGAGCAGAATATGAGACAATGCAGAGGAGGAGCAGGAACTGCCCAGCCCTGCTGGGTGTGGGAGAGGAGGTGAGAGGGGAGAGGATCCCACAGTTTCCCTCTTCACTGTCCTTCCTCTGCACAGTGACAGGGAGTTTGTAGGGAGCAGGTGGAGGAGCAGAACGGGATCAACTGGGAAAGGACACAGCAGCTGCCAGGAGCAGGGACAGATTGACGTGAGTTTGAACAGTTGGTTTCAACTACTTTAAAGCTCCAAGACTTGATAATCTCTAAAAGCTTCTAATCTATGTAGAGAAAACAAGCCCCGTATCCAGTAACCATCTAAACCAGGTGTGTAGAAATAGAGAGAAGGTGTAGGCCAGGTTCTGATCTCAGCAACCGTAATATCCATCCACAGGACCTATCTTAGAAGCAGGACATATTATTCTGAGAATCAGAATAAATAAAGCAGGAGCAAAGCTTGCCCTCTCCCTCCCCCACCCCTGGTGCTGCCGTGACCATAATCTGCCACTCGTGACTTTTTAGGGGTGTAATAGCCTTCTCTTCCACCAATCCTCCCAGCTCTATGGGACAACCTTCCCTGCTTATCATACCTCAACACAAACCTCTCCCAATTCACTTACCAAGCCATAGACAGCCGCTCCAACCCCAAGCAGAGGGCTGACTGCAATGATAACCAAGGTCAGTTTCCAGCCACTGATAAATCCTAGTAGGAATCCACACACAAAGGTGGTTAAGCGCTGGATAAAAATTGCTACTTGGTCAGCAATAGCCTCATTAATTTTGTTAACATCACTAGAAAAAAAACAAACCAAAACAAACCGTAAGATTGCTGAGCATATCTTTCATTTGTGTTGCAGATCTTGGCCACATTTAGGTCAGTTGCTTTCCCTTCGAGAAGGGCCTTCCTCACCCCTGTTCTTTCCACCGTGACCCCTTCCAAAGACCCTGGGCTACAGTGAGAAAACCTGGTGCCTTTGAAATGGCAGGAGGCTTTTATGCATGAATACAGCAGAGAAGATCTTGTCTTTTCCCAGGAAAATTCATCCTGCCAGCAGACTCATTCACTAGCTGGTTCTTACTACTGTGCCCCTTCTGATTCAAAGAAGGGGGCAGAGACTTCACAGCTCGATGTCGCTATCTGATAATGGCAAAACAATGTAGCTGTACAGCATTTCTCCCAGCACGGGGCACTGAGAATGTACCATACCTCGTTGCTGAGGGGACAGAAAAAGGGAGGAGGGCTGTAACTCTCCTAGTTCCACCTTTCACCACCTCCTGGTTCCTCTCTACACCTTATCAGATAGTTTGCTCTCTGAATTAGAGGGTGAGTGGGAAAACTGAGGAGGGCTACTATATCACTGGAGGCAGTGGGAAAATATGATGGTTCTGTCACATGGGGGACAGTGGTGCAGCAGTTAACATCACTCGACCCCCTAAGCACCTGCAGAGTTCATTTGTTCTCTCTTATGCATTGCCAACACAGAAAAAATGTCTTAAAGCAAAACAGTCGTTATACATCTGCCACTCTCGGCTACTACCTCACCCTGAGATGAGAAGAACTGCAAACTCCTGGAATAAATAAGAGGAAGTGGCATTGAGGTTTGAAGTGCAAAGTTGTTAGCTCATTGATACACCAAGTAAAATTGCAGTCCTCTATTGAAAATATATGAGTGTTCAACTGAAGAACATGTTTATATTTCTTCTGGAGGATGTTTTTCACAGCCAGGAAGTTTTTTGTAGGCACAGGACAATGTTGTTAAAAAAACCAGGGAACTGACAAATAGATGCTCAGTTCCTATTCTTTGCCAGAGAAATTCTTCACAATGACTTACACTTGGCATTTATGCTTCATAAAAAGAACACCACAGAAAGTCATAGATAACACCGGGCAGTGAGTAAAGGCAAATAAAATCCCCTTCAACTGCAGAAAGATCTTTTGCAGATGTGACTGCTATTATGCAGGCACGACTGAGAACAGGGAGCCATCTAGAGTTGGCGTATTCACCTCGCAGCTGCCTTCAGCCTGTAAACAGGAACCAGTAAGAAAAGGAGCAAGCCTTGAACTCCGCTTTTCTCAGGGCTAAATGTTTACCCAGGATAAGAAGTTTTCTGCGTCTACCTTGGGTCCCTTTCTAAAGGTAGGTGCTCGTACCTTTAGCAGAAGATAAAGCAAGGCTCACTCTTTTCTTTTAAAAGCCAACAGGAGCAAAGTATGCCCCTAAGGTAATTTTCCATTCTGGGAAGTAAGAGAGGGTTCAAACCCACATCTCCAGCCTCAGGGGAGTGTGCACTGGCAGCCAAATTACATATCACTCTGGAAGGATTGGGCACAGGAGGAGAAGGGAAGGATAGGACAAGCTGGCAAAAAAACCCCACCACAAACCCCAAAAAAAACCCCACATTTACTGACAGAAAAGGCACAAAAAGGAAATAATTGTGGCTTAGCAGTTATGGCATTCAGTTTGAATATGGAGGAGATAATCAGCCTGATTCCTGCTCCCAGGAACACAGCAGTATTTTATATTAGAATGTGTTTGTCAAATGCCTAGCTATGGGCACTTTTTTGTGTTTGGAAGGAAGTGCAAAATGTTCTTTGTAGCATATGGTTTTTTCTAGATTACTTACTCAGAAATTCGAGTGTTCAGTTCTCCTACAGATGTACAGTCAAACCAGCCTATATCCATTCGCATTACTTTCCTGAAATAAGCTTTCCTGATTTTCTGTATCTGACGAGCTGCGGCTGTAACCCAAAAGCAGATCTGGAAAGAGCATAGTGGCTGATAAATTGCATTAAAAGGTCTTTCTACTCCCAAAGAATGGGAAAGAGCAATTTGGCTATTGATAAATTTACAAATATATTCTAGCTACACAGAGGCAATAGTTGTTTTACTCCCTTGATCATGAAATAACCCAAAAATTTTATAAAGATCAAGCATTTGTCTTAGTTCTGATAGGCTGAAAGGAGACACAAGGTAAATTACTTGTGCTGTGACATGAATGTCATATGGACAAAAAATTTTCCATCTACAGCTGTAAGTAGTATAGGGACGGCAGCCATCCTACCTCAGCAAAACTCTGGGATAGTTTTCAACAAGGAAAATGACAAGTGATTTTTGCAATTATAGAAGTATTCAAAAGCAGTGGGCCCGTTAGCAGATTATGCAGGAATCATCCAAGCTTGTGGCTCATCTCAGTCATAAGGACTGAACCATTACTACAGAGTATGTAGGGTGTGATTCTTCTGCAACACTAGTTTTACACTAGTATTACTCTGTAATATCTCTGTAATAGAAACAGAGGGCTCAACGCAGTTGAGATGCCTACTGGGAATCTGTGTGCCCTTCAGCTGTTGTTTTGGGAGGGCATGTGGATTCCATAGTAACCACACTTGAGCAATTATTTCCTGTGGTGTGAAAGGAGCAGTATGCATTCATCTCACTGGCTAAAATGTATCCATGGAGGAAGGTATGCATGCGGGAACCCTGGGAGGTCTGAGATTGCCAGAGATAGCCTATTTCAGCTGATATTCAGAATGAGAACTGAAAGTGTCTGCTCTGCACAAATGGGCAGCTGACTAAGCAGTTAAAAGAAACATAATTATTATAAACTTAATTATTTAGTGATTTAAACTTTGAAATCAAAATAGGGAATGAAATACTGACTTGGAGGTATCCTAACACAAGTACAGCACAACCAATTCCTGCATAGTAACTTGCAAACTTGGTCATTTCTTGTTCAATGTCCAGCAGCCTGAAAAAAAAAAAAAAAAAAAAAAAAAAAAAAAAAAAAAAAGAAAACAAAAAAGACATCAGCAATACTGTTCTAAGTTTCTCACAGATTTCTAATCTGGTGTTTCTTCAAGTTAGAGTCACATCAGCTGGCAAGTCAGCTTGTTTTGCTAACAGAGGCATTGTTCCCCAATGTTGAGGCTATCACTAGCAGTGGCTGGTTTGCTTGCTCTGCCTGTTACACAGGGACAGGGTGCTGGCAGGTACCAGGAAATGCTCTGCTTTCCTGGAGCAGCCCCCGCAGACTCTGAGAAACCCCACCAGACTGCATGCTCCGAAACAGCACAGGTGAAAGGGTGTCTCAGGGAAGAGATGCCCAACAAGTTTTCTTCAGATGTTGAATGCACTTGCTTTGTGCCATTATGCCAACTAATAACACTCAGGTTTAAACAGTTTTACAGAGAGATATGAGGGCTGCTAAAGTCAATTCAAGTATTACTTTGTACCGTAAGCTTGCTAATCTGAAATGATAATTTCTTTTAGCTCAAGTAGGAGTATTAAATTACTCCTAATATCAGTGAAGGGCATTGAGTTGCTGCTGTTACATTTAGATTACTTTGAAATAGGCATTTCAGGTTGTTATTGGTTATGCTTTTAGACAACTTGTTTAAAACATCATGCAGACAGCAAATTTTATTCTCTTTACCCAGAATTTGGTACACTGAAATTTTAAGGCAGAAGGGAACACTATGCACCTGACCTAATCTCTTGCAAAAAACAATCATGGAAACAACTCAGGTGCCTTACACAGATATCTAGTACCCTTTTTAATGCTTTAATGTATTCTGCCTGGTACGTAGTTTCTGCTTCAGAGGAACAGAGGTCTGTAGCAAATCCCATATTCTATCTGCTAGCCCCATCCCAGAGGGCTGGCTTGTACAGCCTGGAGCAAATAATTTGGCCCCAGTCACCTACATCTAGGAATGTGAATCACTTCCCACGTGCTCTGAATTTCAGAGAGCTTTAGACATGTAACTTTTAATTCTAATTAAATATCTAATTAAATGTCACTCAGATTAGAAAACTCTTGGAATGATGCACTGAAAAATGAACCTTAGGAGAGGTTACAGGTTCAAATTTGGCTTTGACAGATACCTGTATCTGAATTAATCATCCAGACTCTACTTATTATAGTTAATGGAAAGAAACAGACACTCTTGCAGGGCAGTTAATCTGACCAGCCTTAGACATCTCCCATAAGCTAAGATGAATTGCATTTTAGAAGTGTTCATTTATCTTCAACGACTAAGGTTTAGCTAACTTGCTCAGAAGTCACCAGGCACCTATAGTTACCTAATTCCTAACCAAAATGACCAGAAGTCATTAACTACAGTGTAAGAGAAAACAGACTAAGGAACGCAGATGGGTAGCAGATAGATCTGTTACCAGACCAATCATCATCAAAGAATATCCTTGCTGACATCAATAGCTGAAAGACCAAGACCCAAGCTGACCTTCTCTCCCTCCAGGCAATAAATCCAGCTCAGAAACAGGACCCTGTAACAAGAACCATGCCCCCTTGCTGCCTTATGGATAGAAAATTTAAAGTTTAAAGGCTGACCTGGACCTTCACTAGCAATACATTCTCTGACAAGCCATAATAACAAAGGAAAAGAAACAAATACATCTACTACTTACCCACATCTTATTGTGGTGTTCTTTTCATTCTGATGAATAGTACCATTAATCCACACTATAGTGTTATTTACACATGTCTTGCCTGGGTCTTTCAGCTCTTGCATCTCAATGTCATATTCAATAAATGTGTCTGCCATTGCACCAAGCACAATCAACACTGCTGGCTGGGCTGCTCCATGAACAATAGCACAGAAACTACCAACAGCCATCATTAAAATTTCCATAGATGAAGAAAATCGAAACTAAAGAGACAGGAAAAAAACATGGTTTCTGCTGAGAGGCTGTATCATGCTGGTTGTATACTGATAAGTCATTAATCAGGTGAATCAGATACAAAATCATTCTTTTTCAATTTCAGATTTTTCTTCAATACAATCTCTCTCTCCAATCTAATCTAACTGCACCTATGATTACAGGCTCATAAATTATTATGAACCCCTTTTCAGCTGACAGCAGAATCTGACCATGTGAATGAATGGATTCTATTATTATCATATAACATTAATAGTGCAATATACTTTAATATTATCACCATTCCAAAAAGTAGCTAAAAGATTAAGAATAGTAATTATAAGTCATATATATGGTGTGCTTTACACATTTTCTGTGGGAATGGAGGGAGAGGAAAGGGAGGAAGAAGCCTTAGGGCATTATGCAGAGCCTCTGAACAGAGCTAGCCGGTTTCTCAAAAGTCTGGGGTGCTGTGGTAGAAAGCCAACAGAACATCTCAGAGCAAGTTCATATAGTTAATATTCTAAAATGCATTGGCTGAGCTGGGCAATTGTGCATTTTCACTTAACCTAGGAGAAATGTATAGAAATATGATATAGTATGCAGTACAAAAGGACTGAACCAAGTCCTATTACCTTACATTTGCCATGGACCAAGAGCATGCACACATGCAGCTGGTGACTCAGCTAAGATACAGCGATTTAAGTTACCTTTGTCAGATTGTGTGAAGTCTGATTCTCAGGTTGAAGTCATGCGGAAATATATAGATCAAACTGTCCATATAGAATATCAGTATCAGATGCTATGTATTTTGAAATAGGAGTGTGAAGAGGAATCATAGCCTGCTGAAGAACCTGTCCAGGTTCTCTAGATGCTATAATGTGTCTAAGAGAAGAAAGATTGGGAATTTGGAGCACATATGGAAAGAGGACATCAGGGCAGAGACAAAATAAAGGGAAAAACAAGTCTGTTAAGATAAAAGGTCTTTCTACAAAAAAACACTGGAAGAAAACTATAGCACTACCATTGTTTTGCAAACCTTGCTCAAAAGAGTTCTAGAAATTCCCTTGATTAAAAAAAAAATGCAGAAAATCAGAAAATGCACGGATATGTGATATCTAATCTCTCTGCACATCTGATGCAAACAAACTCTTTTTAGCAACTGCACTTTAGGAGTTAAACATCTGTGCAAAACAGGCTACAGAATTCAAACGACTTTGCTTGACAGATATAGCCCTCTGTGTTGACCCAACTAAGAGCTGAGCTACTTAGCCAGGTAGAGTACAAGCCACATGGATGTAACTGCACTAGCCCAGTACTGCAGTCAGGGCCATATTAGTTTGGACACATTACAGGATACATGCCTAGACTACGTGCAAAACAGAAGTAATAAGACCTCTTAACTGTATGCTGCTGGGTTGGACATCCCCCCACTACATTAATCTAGACAAACCCTGTGGGATTCCAAGACCCACCAAAGGCTAGACATACCATACAGTATTGTGCATTCACAAGTTTCCATAGTTACCAAATCTTCTAATACCCATGGAGTAATTACAAGGGAGCTAAATTATCTGACAAATATCACACAGCAAATCTTTGGAAGAAATAAGAATGAACCAATGCCACCTAGAACCCTGCTGTGCATCTTCACTCTTTTTCCCTTATCTACTTTTAGGTTCAATATAATGTGTTTAATAGACAATTACGATGCAAATATTGATAATCAATACCAAGCTGACAAAATGACAAAGGGTTCTATTAAATTCCCATTGACTTTAATGGCAGGATTTAATACCAAACGGTTTAATCTGTAAAACTTTGGTTTAGTCACAGCTATTCCCCAAAACAACTGTACAGATTATTGTCACTTATTCCACAGCACAATACACATAAAATATTTATAGCCATTGCTTTCATTACCAGCTGAAAGAAGCCAACACGAATACCATTTTCTTTTTTTTCTGATGACCTTCAAGAACAGAAAACATAAAATTATAAATGTGGGTTTTAGTACATATTTTGTTCTATAGGCAAAGATAGTACACAGAATTGAATTTAACTCACTTTTGGCTTTTCTTCTCTATAAAAGGTTCTTCGTATGTACAGAAATTCCTAGCAAAAAGGAGAAGATTTTACATTAATTCTTTTATACTCTTGGTTACTTCTCTGAAATAACATTTTATTTGAGACATTTTGCCCAGAATTTTAAGAGACAAGCTGTTTCTTTCGGCTTTCTTGTGAACCAATGATTTGATGGTTCTTTTAAATTTTAGACAGGGACTAGAACCAAGGTTAGTTTAAAATGATCTGAAGGTTTATGCTTTGTTTCATAAGCAGCTCCTCAAAACACTGTTGCTATAATGTAAATTGTGGGTCCTTTGAGGTCAGTTAGAGAAAATCCTACCATCCAAATTCTTGGCTAGTCCTTTCTCTAAGACAGAGAAAGGTCCTGTTCCCATTCCCTTTTATATTGCCTGTATGTTCGTATGTCCATAGTGGCAGCAGAGTCTCCCACTCTACCATACAAATTTTTTTTTTCAGTACTCACTTTATGTGTTGCTATTCTGTATGATCAGTTAAAATCTAAAGGACTAGTTGCACCATTATGGATGGGATCCATACTATAGCAAGTAATCATCTGCTGTGTACATTCAGTGATGAATGAGTAGGGATTTTGAATTTGGATTTTTTTTTAATTAAACAAATGAATTAAAGCTATATTTGTCATGAACAGTTTTCAGAAACCAGATCTAAGAAAGCCTGAAGGAAGCTTCATATGTGTAGTAGATAGGCCCATATGTGTGTTACATGTGAAAGTCCAACAGAACTTGGGTTTCAAGATATGTGCAAGGACCACGGTAGACCTTGAATACCGGGCTGGTGCTCTCTCTAAGATGGGCAACCTGACAAAGATGAAAATTAAGAGATGCTCTTGCTTCCTCATTCTAGGAGTAGTTCTCAGACTGTGTACATTGTGTCAGAAAGAGCTGGCACAAATTACAGCACCCATTAGGACGTCCAGTCTGCTACAGAGTTGTTCCAAGATCTAGGAAGAGGGAGGCTCTTAACCCCATTCAAATCTCAGATTATAGCTGAAGGTCAAGGTTTCTAGAACTCTTTTGGTCTACCTGTGTCAGTTCTATAAAATAAGGCAGTTCAAGTCCTAGAGAACAGCTTTTCATTAAATACCATATATTCTATAAATGTATCAGTTTGATTCAATGACTTTCACTTCTTTGAATATTCCCAGAAATATTGATTGTTGCATTTGCGTACTTGACTTACTCTGATTTCTTGAAGCTCTTACCTGTTAGGGAAAATAAATGCACAATCTAGTTAATAATTATCGTTAAAGTACATAATCCTCTGTAGATATGTGAAACATAAAACCTCGAACCCCATGGGACCTGACCATTCCTGAGTTATAAGCATCTTATTCCCACTGATACATCTAGCCAGAAACATGAACTGACATGGGCCCAAAAATTCCTTGTTAAGTTTATATCAACATGCCTGCTTTCTCTTGAAGAAGTAGTCTCAAGTTCTTAATACCCCAGATGACAAAATGGTTTTCACTAAATACACTGTTCAGGACATTTGCCAAAAGTCAACTCATTTTTATTGCAAGCTGTTTGCTACTGTTCAGCTAGTTCTCTTGGACACTGTCTCACCAAGGAATACTACTCTGTGGTAGTGGCAGTCCATTCATACTCCCTGAAAGGAGGAGCAGTAGCTCTTCACTCTTCCCTTCCAACAACTTAGAGACTGCAAATCCTGTGGAAGAGGGGCAGCTGTGTCCCTGGGGGTGAGATGAACTTGTCAAACTGAAGCCGGTTCTTGTGATACTCTCTAAGGAACCACAGCTTAGAGAAATGGAATTATGCTACAATATATAATTATGCTGTAGGGCAACTCCATAGTCCCCAGAACAGGTCTGAACTTAGCTCCCTTTCAAGAGATGCTGCTAGAGATGTCATACCTAAAGCACAGCTTGTGTTGGCAGGGGCCCCAAAGAAGCATCATCATAAGGGCTGATGTAGAAAATATTAGCTGTACATCACTTGAGGTGACAATGAATAAAGAGCTGGTTTTATGCAGACAGCATGGTTTGGATAATCTAAGGGGACTGGGCATATGCACCTTGCTTGTTTATGATGAACTTGGCAGCTCAGCGTCCGGTTCAGAACCATGGTATGCTTCTCAAGCAGTGCCTTCCTTTCGTCACATCTAGTGGCACAGCACTGAGCATGCACAGGCCTGTCTCACAGAGCAAACACAGGGGAACTTTGCATCACAATTCGCAGAGGGTGCAAAGAAGTCACTGCAACCCCAAATTTTGCCTTTATCATTTTCCTAGCCAAGGGAAGAAGCTTCTCCACTATCTCCAGGGCTTTGCATTTCCCAAGGCAATAATGTTAGAAGGAAGCAGTCTGAGTTTGGGACTGAGGGAACAGCTGATTACATCTCCTTTTGGGGGTTAATGACTCTACTGGTTTTATTCTGCTCTGTTTGTTACTTGGGGATAGTAAAACAAAAGATAAGGACATATGTGTATCCTGGGAATCCCAGAAATTTTACAGGAAGGTTCTAATTTGTGAAATTATTATTACAAAGAAACATTTGGTGTTAGGCAAGAGCCGGTTGTGAAGGAAGAATAAACATCTGTTTGCAGTTTTTTGAAGTTTGGCAGCTGATAACAGCTATAATGGTTTGAAGCCATTCCTAAAAGATTCTCTAGGGTTTACTGGAAAAGTTAAGGTTTAGAGAAAGCTTCCTCTGCAGGGTGGTAATGCAAAGTGTTTTGCAAAAAAAAAAAGCAACAACAACAACCAAAAAAAAAAAACCACCAGCCCAAAAACCAAGGATTTGGTTACTGGGAGGAAAATAGGAGGAACAAGAGAGTCTGGTGAAATAGCTTTCTGAATCATATCAGTTCAGAGAGCAAAATAAGCATTCTCCAAAGGTGAAGAAACCCTAATCTATGAACTTGAAGAGGGAAATTATTATATTGATGCTATTCAAGAGTGTGAGGAACTGTGGGCCAGCTCTTGTGGGCCAGCAGATTTTAAGTGGGAGGAGAATTTGGAATTACGTTACCTACGCTTAATTTGAAAGAAAAAAGCAGATGAGTCACAGTTCACACTGCTACAACTGAAAAAGTAGAAAAAGAGGACAGAACATTATTTTTATAGAAAAGAAAAGAATGGATGGAAGATGAAAGAATTAATTAACCCTAAAGAAAAAAGCTATAGTAATCTTCGAATGCTCAAAAATTTTTGAAAGAGGAATTAAGGCGTTTAAGAAAAAAATTTTACCATTTGAAAAAAGCACAGAATCAAGGAAAAGCTGAAGAACTTTGCCAAGAATCTGATTTTTTACTGGTATTGTGAGAACACAGTAAAAGTTAAGCCTGAGGAAATCTGGTATTTGATTCAAGTGATGAAAAAATTGTACTCAAAAGGCTCCCAACTAAAGCTGGCTCTTGACTACACCTACAGACATGGTGTTCAGGGGTTGATCCAGAGAGGGCTAATTCTTACTAGTATGTACAAAGGGTGGTTATTGAAACAAACCTCACTGGTGATTACAGAGCAGAAGTGACCAATCAGCAGAATGCCATTAAGGTTTTAAAGCAATGATGTTTGC